GTATACTGATCGTCAATGGTCTCCGCCGTCGCAAGGTATAGTGGTGGCTTTCTCCGATGCGGCTGTGTCGGTGGAGCAACATAAATCCGGAATAGGGGTGGTGGTGCTCAACCATGAGGGCTTGTGTGTAGGTGCCTGTTCTGATCCGTTGAGGGGTGCACTGTCTCCAGAGGTAGCTGAGGCCTTAGCACTCCGTCGAGCGGTTCGTTTTGCATGTGATGAGGGATTTGATGATGTTATCTTCAACACAGATTGCCTCTCGATGGTGCAGCGCTTGAAATCTTCTTCTAGTGACCGCTCGGTGGTGGGTTCTATTCTCATGGACGTCAAAGTGATGGCAAATGGTCTTTCTTCTGCAACTTTCCAGCATGTTCGTCGGCAGTACAATGTTTTAGCTCATGTCTTAGCTAGATCTAGTTTGAGCTCTACTAGTCCATGTACTTTTCTTTCTGCTCCGGATTGCATCCAGGAGACTCTTTGTAAATTTGTTGCTTGATCAATAAAGACCGACGTTCTCTAACAGAAAAACAAATGGAGTTGCGCATTATTCTACCTAAAATGACGTCAAACTCCATTTTATTGCTACTCTTTTTTGTTGCAGAAAAACTACAATTATACTTTTACATTTATTTGGTTTATTTCTTCTCCTTTCCTTATTTTTTTCATTGTAGTAATATCTTTTATAAACTATTTGCAAATGATTTTTTATATTCACTTATTTTTAAGATATATGCATGTATTTCTAAAGAGTGTTCAAATATTTAGATAATGTTCCTATAACTACAAAAAGGTTTTCGTAATTTTTAAAAATGTTCATGAAACTAAAATGTTCACACATTAAAACACATTATGCAGTTTTTAAAATTGTTCATGTAATTGTATAGTGTTAGTGTATTCTACAAAAATGTGTCAATAAATTTTAAAAGGTTTGATTTGATTCTACAAATTCTTCATGGAATTTAAAAATTGTTCACACATATTGTAAGCAGGTATTTCTCAAAATATATTTTACATTAAAAACAATTAGAAAAGGAAGATATAATAAAAAAATATATAAAGCAAAATAGGAATAACAAAATGAAAAGGGAACAAAAGCAGCAAAAAGGAACCTAAAAGCAACTAACACCAGAACCAGATTAAAGTCTCCTTCGATTAATAGAAGTGAACAGATAATCCAAAAAGTTTATTTTTTGCGACCAAAATTTCCAATTTTCCAATCTATTCATCAACCATGGCAGTACAAAGAACACAAGAGGTAATAAAAACACCAAGTCTATGAACCACCTAACGACAACTACAAGCACTGTCGTGAGCCGAAAGCGTGCCACCGTCATTGCCCCTCCTCATCGAAGTCGGGAAAACCCTGTTGTGGTAGATAGTCAGGAAGTCGTCGTGCTAAGGCCCCAAAGGACCAGCGCACCAGAGCAGCAACCTTCGACGACGCTATTCACACCATCGGGACGGGGATAGGACATGGGAGCCATTATTCCTATTGAGGGGCATCGCCACCGCCACATAGCCCAACCAAGACGTTGAACCTAACAAAAACGTGAACGAGGTCCCTCCCGCCGGTGAGCGGCCGAGATGCACCACACCTCCACGGTCCAAAGGCCAGCGGAGGTGGGGAGAATCGATGGTGGTGCCAGTGGGAGGAGGAAGGATACTTTCTTGAGGAGGCGGAAAGACAGCCATCTAGCATAATAATGGAAGTTTAACCATCATAAGAGGTAGTGATCATAGTTGTTGTACTATAAATGTTCTGAATCATGCAATGTTATACTTAAAAAGAAAGAAATCCTACTCGACAGCTCCTCGTTGTTTTTAGAACTTGGGGAGTATCCCTTCCGTAAAGAAATATAAGAGCGTTTAGATCACTATTTCTTTACAAAAGAAGGATATATATCACCCTGGGTGAATAATAGTTAATCTTCTCCCTTATTATTACAGCGCTTCACCATATATTTTTGGGTTAATTTGATAAATGTCACTCCAAATCTGTCGATTCCGAGAAATGCCACTGCAATTTCCAAACTTTGAAAAATGCCATTTCATGCCATTTTCAGTGGCATTTTTCAAAGTCTGCAGTGGTGTTTTTCAAAGTTTGCAAAAATTGAAGTGGCATTTTTTAAAGTTTGGAGATTGCAGTGGCATTTTTATGAATTGTCATAATTGGAGTGTCATTTATCTAATTAACCCTATATTTTTTGTTCTACAAATTAGGTCTTACATCGGAAGTTGGTAGAACATAAGAAAATGTATATTAGTAAAAGAAATTATTTTTCATGATGTAAAATTTCAAACGTAAAACGTAGCATGAAAATATATAAGGTGACAAAGATGTGTGTGTGTGTGTGTGTGTGTGTCATTTTTGTGTGGTTTTGTGACTTATATCTTCATTTCCTTTCATCAATTTTTGTGTAGTGAATCTATATCTACGTAAATATTTGTATAACGAACGTAATTTATAATGAATTGACATAAGAATATGTCCGGTGCAAAATAAATTATTCTGCACCTTGGGTGATGAATAGCTTTATTATCATATTATTACCCATATGTAATGGAATATCTGTGTACAATGCCCGAGTCATCCTGTCTTGTGGGCGACCCTATAAATCACTCACTCCGGATGAGAAGGAGCACTAGCCCACAATGCCTCACATGGCCTGGGTCCAGATAGCAATAAAAATGCAATGCTTGTTTACCTATTCTCCTTTTGGTTCCTCTCTTTCTTTCTTTTTTTACTTTAGTAATAAAATTTTGAGACCTATTTACACATATCAAAGAAAATGTTATATTATTTATGAAGAATGTGCATGTATTTATAAAAAGTGTTCAGGATGTTTCCAAAAACAATTATGTAATTAATCAAAGGTTTTCATAATTTTTCAAATTGTCAAGTACTCCCTCTGTACCGAAATACTTGTAGTTGGGGAAAAGTAGTACAAGTTCCCCCAACTACAAGTATTTGGGTCCAGAGGTAGTACTTTTAAAAAGTATTCAAGCATTTAAGTATATTCACGTAATTTTAAAACTGATCGTACATTTAAAACCGTTCTCATAAGTGAAAATCATTCATACATTTTTATTGTATGTATAATTTTTTTTAAATCATGCTTTTTAAAATATGTCCAAGTAATTTCTAAAATAATCCATATTTTTAAAAAAAAATATTTATATCATTTTTTATATTAAAAAGGCTAAGTTAAAAGGAAAAAAGATTCATAAAAGTGAAAACAGAAAAAATTAAAGTAAGAAAAATTAGCAAAAATTAACATGCTTTTATAAATATTCAGGTTATTTTTTAAAAACTTGTCATGGTATTTTAGAAATGTTCGTGGAATTAAAAATGTGGTCATGCATTGTTTTAAAATGTTTACGTTATTAGAAAAACTGTTCACATATTTAAAAGAAATTCACAAGATTTTTTAGAAAATAGTAATAGAAAAAGTATGTTCCTGTATTTGTCCAAAAAAACCGACCTAAACAGGATAAAGGGGAAATGGAAAAGACACAGAAAAGGAATGAAGTAAAAGGAAAGGAAAAATAAAAACATAAGATGAAATAAAACCATAAGGAAAAGAATTAAAAAAACACTGAAACCAGATTTAAAGCCCTCTTTGATTAGCAGAGGTGACCAATTAATCGAGAAAGCATAACTAGAATAAGAACGGCAGATAATGGTTGTTTGTACGATTATTAATCTGAGTCATGGGTTATTGTACGCATAAAGTTGCAAAACACTGCTCTATTGCTACTTTTTTTATGTCATGACGTATATGGTGTTCGTGGGCAGTATATACATAGTGTGTAATTGTCCATATATCATGTTGCAGATGTTCATATTTTTATAAATTTGGTCAAAGTTTACAAAAGGCAACTTAGCACAAGACTAATATACAATGTATTCTGAATCAGATGTTAGTTGTCTGTCCTGTGTGTTGAGCAACGATCAATGAATTAGTTCAACAAGTGGTGCTGAAAAATACACTTTATTTTCCAGCAGTGTTCCAGAGAACCATAAGTGTGTGCGCTATTTTCCCAACAATAGACAGATAGATTATAATAGTGCGCATCTAGCTGTGGAGGTTGGAAAAAAAATAAGGAGAAACAAAACCATAAGAAAAAGAATAAAAAATGAAACAAACACTAAAACCAGATTAAAGTCCTCTTTGATTAACGGAAGTAACCAGTTAATTGAGAAACTATACCCAGAATAAGATCGACCGATAATGGTTGTTGTACAATTATCAATTTGAGTCATGAGTTATTGTACGCAAAAACATGCAAATCACTGCTCTATTGCTACTTTCTTTCAGGTCGCGATATCTATGGTGTTCATGGTAGTCTATATATACCATATAACTATCCATATATGGTATTTTAGCCGTTCATATGCTTTATAAATGTGTTTAAAGCTAAGAAATTTGACTTGTATTCTGAAATGGAGGGAGCATATCAGACGCTAGTTGTCTATCCTGTGTTGAGCAACCATCCATGAATTAGTTCAGCAAGTGGTGCTGCAAATTACACTTTAATTCCAGCATAGTGTTTCAGAGAACAGTAAATGTGCTTGTGCGCTAATTTCCCAACATAGATAGACAGAAAGATTATAATCGTGTGCATCTAGATGTGGAGGTCGGACACTATTTAACTTCCATTCCCCCCTCGAAAACAAAGAAGTATATATATAACGTATAAATTAGGAGTTATCAAAGTTTATAAATCATCATGTGACCTAGAGTATGGTAAAAATGACACAAGCAAAGATACTTGCAAATATGTGTATATACTCGAAGTATAGTGTATGAATAGGTCAAGCAACTAATTAAGTTCTTTGTCACGTACTCACCTCACGTCTAGAAAAACTTACAAATGCTCTTATCAGTTATCACATTAGCCAGACTAGTTTAAAATACCTCGATCAATATATATACATATACATTCACATGGACGTAGATATATAGATGGATCATATCACGTATAGCCAGGGTGTTCGATCAGTTGGGTATGAGCTTGAAGTGGGGCTTCTGCATGGACGGGGTTGGGTCGTAGGTGCCGTAGTCACTGGTGGTGACGTCCTTGAGCATCCGGGAGTGCACAGGCTGTGCCATAGCTGCTTCGTCCTGGGCCTCTCCTTGCTGACCAAGAGACTCCTCCCGATCTACAATGAAGCTCGGCCGCTGTCTCCCTGAAAACAGCAGAATCATCCATCAAACCTTGTAAAAAAACTAAGAACCCAGAAGAAAGTGCATCTGTTTTCTCATGACCCAGACCCACAGGCACAGCATGCGTGGATCACCTAATTAATTAAGCCGCAGCTCGACATCTAGCTTGTTCCCTTCAATCTCTTGATGCATTTGTAACAGTAAGAAAACAAAAATACATGTCGTGGCCATGTGCGCTAGGACCTAGGCAGGAACTGCACTGCACTATACTCTACATCACATGTAGATGCAAGGGTTTGAAGCAGCAGGAAACCAGATCAAGAACTTCTTAGATTCTTCGTCCAAAAGGGATTTACTGGCTATCTAGAACGAAGGACAAGACAGTCACACGAACCTGCCAGGGAAGTGGAGAGCAGCAGGGCGAAGAAGGCGAGGGCGAAGAGGGAGGCGGATCTCCGGGGCATCCTCATCTCCGGGTTACTCACGCGATGCATGCGCTCTCCCTCCCTCAGTAGTAACGCATGGAAGGCGTGAACCAGCGTCAGACGCTCGAGGTGAAGGTGAAGCAGAGGCCTCTTCTTCCACCTAGAAAGCAGAATATATAACTGGGTAGTTAGGCAATGCCTTACGCGCGGCGCGACAAATAATGCGAATCCCACTCACTGCCTCTGAGCAAGTTCCAAAGGGATGATGTAGGAATTTCGATATTTTTCATTTGTTTTGACTGGGGCAAAAGTGGAGGGCCGGCAGGTTCCGTATGGAGTTTTCAGGGCGGTTGGTCACCGTGGTCGCTTGCTCATTTTCAGTTCTGGTACGGTGGCGGTTATTACCAGGCAGTGGCTGACAAGTGCACCATGCCAAATGGCTTCTTTTGGTTAAAAACTAGGTGTGTTCTGCACTGTTTTTCTTTCCTTTTTCTGGCGCTGCTTTGCCGCGTGTTTTAGGGGACTGGCTAAGCTAATTAAGTGGTCTCTGGCTCTGGTTAGTGCCACCGGTGGTTGCATGACTAAAAGCCGGTCGTATTTGCAGGACGGATTCCCGGGTTCAGAATCAGATACCGATCGGCTTTCATCCATCAACATGCACGTTGCTACTTGTGGTAACTTAACTCTAGGGCCTTTAGGAGCATACCATGTGCTGAAAGCATAGCGCACCAAGTTTCTCCTCAGATCCAGCAAGCCTAGCATGCATCTCTTTCAGAAATCCACCACCATGACACACCCTAAATCGGCTCTACACACCCAAGCAGGCAATTCATCTTTGGCTTGCAGGAAAGGTAAATCGATCCTTGACGCCGTTTCTCGGGCCAACATTTTTGTCGTGACCGATGAACCGGGGAATCATACGAGATAAAAAGCAAACCATTGACATGGTTCCAAAGAAAAGCAAACCACCTTTGAGTGTTAAAAATGGCAAGTAGGCTGAGATGAGGGTAAGAGCAGTGGGACAGTGTACTGCATTGTTCAGGGTGTGTGCGTGGATCACATACATAGGGCTAGACAATGGGCAGTGCTCAGGCATGTCCTCTCTCTGTCACCATGCTTTCAGTCGGTTAGCATATTCCATCTCCATGCCAGAGGAACAGCTGAAAGGTAAATCCATCGACCCGACGCTCCTCGGTCGCGTGACGGAACAGAAACTGCGAGACAGCAAGGAGAATTTCAAAACCTGATTTGAGTGGAGATAGTGCTGCTGATGATGCCCAGGTAGAAAGTAGCAGGCAAGCACACTGTGGTCAGGAGCCAGTACCAGTAGTGGAGCATAAAGCCAGAGCACCACTACGAGCATACACACAAAGTATTCGATCGGATGTCGTCTTTACGGGCGAGCAGACACTAATTAGACACACTGGTTGGCGACGGCAAAGCCATGGCCGTGCTTTTGGTTTTCCTTTAATTTGCTTTGCCACCCCCTCCTCCTGTGATCCATTCATCTTTGGGTGTAGCTAAAGAGATGGTTGGGTGTGATCAGGGAACTGCGTGTGGGGCTGCGAGATTTGGACCTGACAGTTTTAGGAGCACTCAGTGGGCATCATGGGATCAAAGCTGCTTTTGTTTCTGTCTAGTGCGTTGGGGCAGACCAAGCACTGGTGGTCGACGATGCCTGCTTTAATCCTTGCGTGGTTTCATGGGCGCAAAGAATGCCAGCGGCGAACATGCAAGATTAAAGGTACCCATGACCTCAACAGTCAGTTCTGCTCGACTGACTGTTGAGGTGGGTAGTACACTTGATTAGTACTAGTAACCAAAAATCCATCAACGCATATTTATCAGGAGGTTATGACAGTCAAGTCAGCAAAACGAGCACATTCATTATCAAGGCAAACTTGAAGTAGTCACCTGCATATTCTCCATATCATATGCGTTGACCCCTACAAAATAAGTTCCAGCGATGCAAAGTTGAAGTTGACTTATTCCATGAAACATGTATGTGAATATCTTTATCATTCTGGAAACAGGTGGATTGCATCTCTCACCCTCAAATCCTTGACAACACATTCAAATTCGAAATATTCAAACGATAAACCTGGAAGTTTGAGGAAAAGGTGTTTCTTTCTTGTCAAGTTGCCATACAAGTTCATTCTGACGATATTCCCAGCATATCCATCAGAGGACCCAACACCTGTCTGCAAAATATGTGTTGGATATAATTGATCATTTGCAAGAAATATATCTGTGGTTGCAGCATAAATATTAAGGGATATTTATGAAGGAATTTCATAAAATATAGCAAATGTTCTAGCAAAATGCATCGGCAAGTAGAAAAGAAACAGATAAGTTTTTGGCATCAACTGCAAAAGGGCGAGTGCAGTGCCCTTCAGTTTGCAAATATCACATAAAATTTACAATCCAATCAATTTAGTATATACATTCACTTTACATTTTACCAGGCATAATTTGGAAATAATTTATGGTAAACCAGTAAATGAATAAATCAGACAAAAATAGTAACTCAGTTTGTACTACAAAGTTAGAAAATCTAAGAAAATGCTTACAATCAGAAATTAATTAACCAAGTTCTCCTATCATGCAAGTAATGTCCCTGCAAACCATGTAGTTTGAATCCACAACTTCAAACCATGTAAACTATCACTAGTACAAAACGGGGTTTTGTGGTGGTTTTGGTACACAATCCTCAGGCGGTTTTGTCTACTGTCTCTAGCAAACCAGAGCTACTACTCGTGTTATTGGAGGTGGTTGAGAAACCAACTGGGGAAATACCTATCTGAACAGTCAATTCTTGCGACAGAACAGACTAGAATGATTTGCAATCTCAGTAGCCTCGGCTCGAAGTTTCAAAACTTGTCAAAATGTCAAGTTTTAGTAGTTCAAACTTGGTGAAGTTTCAAAACTTGTCTAAATGTATTCAAAAGTGGGTTTGCTTCAAAACCCTCGTAACAAGTAACATGATTATGCAAACAAAATATAAATTGGATTTTTGATTCAAAAGATATGATAAATTCAAATTTAGAAGTCAAAAGGGAAAAGCAAGGGAGGTGGGGTGAGCAGAGCATGCACTCTCTGCCAAATGTTTTTTTTGCGGGTAACTCTCCGCCAAATGTTGTACAAAAAACTGCATGCATGGAGTAATTGGACTCTAATAACAAAACAAGTTTCCGAATCTTGACACAATCATGTGGCTACATGCATGCTCCCACACGCCCATGCTACAAATCGTCTCCCAAGGAGGACATCTCATTGCAGCCACTAGATAAATTCGCCTCTCGTCTAGCCGAGAGTGGTAATTTCTTCAACATAATAAGTGCCAAGAAAAATATTGTGGACAACCGAACCTCCCTTTGAAGGATGGACTAGGACCCAAGCAACTTCCACGTCATCATAGGGGCTAGCGTGGATGGTTGTGATTCACCGAGATCTTCTCTTAAGGCTTTCATGGTATCTATTTTTCTTCTTTGTCAATTTTTTCTTACCTCTCTGTCATTCGAACTTCTCGACAAAGTCTCATCACGGGCATATCCATAGAGCTATGCCTCTTCTGCCCCTCGTAAAACCTAGGTACTTAAGGTTTCCCAAGACCTCTTAGAACACATCTCCTTTGAAGTGGTTAGCTTGCCTTAGTTGCTTCGTCGAGGTCCACCTTAAAAGCAAGACATTGACATGCAAACATAGCATGGGAAAGAAATTCGAAAGCAATGAGCGAATTTCTTGGCATCTCGTCAAGTGATTGTGGGCCTCACCATTCACGTGGTTACTAAAATCAAGCATGTTTCTGTAATCGAGGAGGCTTCAGAGGCCCTTGGTCTCGCTCAGCATCTCGTCCCCTCAAATATGTGGTATGTAATTTTTGGGGTTTATTTGGAGGTTGTTGCCTCCTTGTTCTCTTGTTCCCATTTCTTGGCCATGAGTGGCGGAGCTAGAGCAAGGCCGAGTGGATCGTGGCCCGCCCAGCCCATGTTTTTTTAATTGTACACCTACTTTTGGGCCATGAAAAAACAAGGACAATACTTATTTCCTCCAGTCGGCCTGCCCAACTACTTGGGCCAAGCTCCGCTAATGTTGGCCATGTCGGCATACCCTATAGTATGCAAATGGTTGAGTGCATGTTTAGTTGGCGAGTTCCTTATGTGCCAATATTTCACTTGGAATTCCTTGGTGGTCTTCTAGCGCACGAATTCATCCAACACTTCGTCCTTAATATATGGGCATTGGCCAAAGGGCAAAAAATATAGATCAATGTTACTTCGTCACCAATGTATTCTTCGATCCACTACTTGAACGCATTTGAAGTAGTCAAAATATAGTTGCTCGTTCGGCAGGCTTCTCGTGTTCATCTTTTAAGCGGAAGTATCCCATGATCTCTTTAATGATGTCCATGCGTTGATTCTTGACACGCTTCTAGTGATAAACGGTGAAGTGCACTCATCCTATCATTATCTAGTGAAGTCATAACCTCATTGAACCTATTGATTGTGGACCCTCGCATGATTGTTTTGTTTAGTAGGAAATGATAGTCTAGGTGACGAATGAGAGCCAGTACTATCCCTCCACAAGCGTCAAATGTAAAAAAAGTAATTAGTTCATGTTATACACTTATAAGTGATTAAATCTAAATATTTGGTATATATTTAAAGCAAAATTTAAACATTAAGAGTTATATTATGTAATATTATGTCCACTAACCATTATATTCACAAAACCCATAAATATATACACTGAATTAAATCTGTCATATCTACAAAATCATTTATATCGAGAAATATATACAGTGAATCCATCCTATCAACAACTATATCCATTAATTGTACAAAAGAAACTATATCCACTAATCATATAAAAACTATAAAGAGTATCCACCAATCATATGAGTGAATACAGTAATCATAAACTAATGCACCAAATCCATCTTATCAACAACTATATCCACTAAGCATACAAAAAATTATGAACTATAAATACACGATAATACAATACATATAAGTGCTTCTAGCTCCCCCCTTTGTCCGTGGTGGGCAAGGGAGATTGCATCTCCGACG